ACCGAAGATCAATCTTAGAGAAGTGACTAGCCCCATGCAATTGGTCAAATAAATTGTCAATCCTTGGAAGAGGATACCTATTCTTGACGGTGACCCTATTAAGTTGTCGATAATCAATACACATTCTAAGAGACCCATCTTTCTTCTTCACAAACAAAACCGGAGCACCCCAGGGAGAATGACTAGGTCTAATAAACCCCTTCTCTAACAAATCTTTTAATTGCTCTTTCAACTCTTTCAACTCTGTCGGGGCCATACGGTAAGGGGGGATAGAAATAGGTTGAGTATCGGGAAGGAGGTCTATACCAAGATCTATCTCCCTTTTGGGAGGGACACCGGGAAGGTCTTCTGGGAAGACATCTAGAAACTCATTAACAACCGGAATAGACTCAATAGGAGGGACTTTAGACTCCACATCATTGACTCTCACAATATGGTACAAGCACCCTTTGGAAATCAACCTATGGGCTTTAATGCAAGAAATGAATTTCCCCTTCACCACAACATCCCGGCTCTCCCACTCAAGGACGGGTTCATTAGGAAATCAGAACTTGACTTTACGAGTCCTACAATCAATAGAAGCATAATATGCATGCAACCAATCCATCCCAAGAATAACATCAAAATCCACCATGTTCAACTCAACAAGATCGCAAGGCAACAACTTATTCAATATGCAAACCGGACAATTTCTATACACTTTTCTAGCAACAATAGAGACACCAATGGGAGTAGATACTTCATATGACTCATGCAAAAATTCCGACTCGACATGAAATTTTCTAGCAACTAAGGGGGTAACAAAGGAAATGGTGGCACCCGGATCAATCAAAGTATAAACATCAAGATCAAAGATTTGCAACATACCGGTCACCACATTCGGGGTCTCATTAACACCTTGTCTACCATGCAAAGCATAAAATCGATTGTCCCTTGGGGCACCACTTTGAGAAGCACCTCTACCCAAATGAGTAGTGTTAGCACTTCGGACCTTGTTGCGGATCTTGGGACACTCAAACCTCTTATGACCCACTTCTCCACATTCAAAGCAAGCACCCGAACCCTTCATGCAAGGACCACCATGCTTCCTCCCACACTTAGGGCATACATCCATATAACCCACTTCACCTCCCCCTTGAGGTCTAGGAACATTGATAGCAAATCCCCGATTGACATGAGGGTTTCCTCGGCCTTGATGAAATCTAGCACCCTTAGGGAACCTATTCTCCAATCGGGCCCTCTTGGCCTCGTGCCCCCTTTTCTTCCTCAATTTCTCCTCCTCCATTTGCTCGGCATAAGTCATCAACCGAGACAAATCCATATCTCCAATGAGCATAGCGGACCGACACTCCTCACTAACCAAGTCGGATACACCCATCACAAATTTGTTCATCCTCGACCTAGAGTCGGCCACCAAGTGAGGTGCATACTTGGAGAGTTGGACAAATTTGAGGGCATACTCCCTCACACTCATAGCTCCTTGCTTCAAGTTCATGAACTCCACCAACTTTGCCTCCCTAAGCTCAAGAGGGAAGAACCTATTAAGGAAAGCAAGTTTAAACTCCTCCCACAACACCACATAGCCATTACCTTTCTCACCCTTCCATTGATCAAACCAAATTTGAGCAACCCCCTTGAGTTGGTAGGCCGCCAATTTCGCCTTCTCACAAGCACCAGCATCCATAATGGTCAAGATTTTGCATACCTCATCGATGAACTCTTGCGGGTCCTCATCCACCTTTGAACCATGGAAGACCGGAGGGTTCATCCTCATGAAATCTCTCACCCTTTCCCCCGGGGTGGTAGTTCGAGGAGCTTGGGCTCCTTGTTGCACTTGGTTAGCTACCACTTGTGCAAGCATGGTGAGTGCATCACGGAGCTCACCATTGGTGGGTGGCTCTTCCGGTGATCAGGCCCGTCTTCCCCTCATGTTTGGCATGATGATCTAGCAATCCAAAGAACAAGCGTTACGGAGGAATCACCTTATCGCACTCTAAGCACGACATAGAACATGAAGAAGGGAAACCTTTCCTAAAACGTTTTGTAGCCTCCCATTCATAGTCGTGGCGCGCTTCACAACCATGATTAGGACTCTACTCAACGCGGTGTGTTGGACTCCGAGGATTTAACAACCTAGTGCTCTGATACCAAGCTTGTCACGACCCAAGCCTAGGGCCTAGACATGACATGGCGAATGAGGAACCCGAAGGAACCCCAAACAAGCCTCTCAAACTTGTCATCACACTTCATCGGTCGCGAAAGTACATTCAACATTAATTAACTGGAAATAGGGACTAAGGGCAAACCATTTCAAAATGACATCATAGAACAAGAGTCAAGCTCATTTACAAAATACTTGTCCAACGCACACCTCTACATACATAGATAGGACGGGGCCATGACATACTACCGGCTCCCCTCATAGTCAAAATACAATTGCAAGCTAAAGTCTCAAAACATAGGAGTAGGAAACATAACATAGCACTCGAATCATTGAGGACTCACCAACAACTCGGATAAGCACTGTACTAGCCACGTGAATGGAGAGAAGGATCAAGAGTAGCTCCGGTCCCTACATGGTGACATCATGTAGGCAAAATATGCGTTAGTACTTGGAATGTACTAAGTATGCGGGGTACAACACAACAACAGACAAGGACACAATTGAAATACAAGAAATAGTTTCATAGGCATTATGAATAACAATATGAGGATGAATGATCAAAGTGAAGTCAAAACATGTTTAAGTAAATCTATACTAATAGTAGATATCATATGTGTATGCATGATCCAACCAATCTATAACCCCAACTTAGGATGGGGGATGCCGTTCACACCCGGACACCCTGGTGGCAAGGTATAAACCCCTCACATGGTTGATGTTGGTCACACCCCAAGCATCCTAGGTGGTGAGATATAAACCTCTCACATGGTTGATGTTTGTCACACCCCAAGCATCCTAGGTGGTGAGATATAAACCTCTCACATGGTTGATGTTGGTCACACCCCAAGCATCCTAGGTGGTGAGATATAAACCTCTCACATGGTTGTCCGGTTCTTTTCCCCCGGACCAGGCATGGTCATGCAACACTTTATATAGGAAATTCCCATTAGGCTCTAATGCAATCTCACGTATGGAATGAACATATACACAAGCTTAGTTTGTCATCAACACATCTCTGGATTTCCATACATCTCATAACTCAAGCTTTAAAACATCGATTCATCAATTCTCCATAGTTGGACATTTTGTCAAACACCTTGAAGGCATGTAATGGAATCAAAGAGCATGGAAAATAGGGTAGTAATTATGCAGCCAAACCAGTGAACAACCTACAACAACACCTTTTTAACACCCACAATACCACATGAAAATCTCCACATCCATTCCAAATTTAGGTTCGAGTTCTAGAGTCACAACATGCTCAAAACAATCACTTTTCATGTTTAAAATTCAATGTGCAGGAAATTATTACAAACAACAAGACTAATTTATGAATCTTAACTTAAACCATGAATTAGTGAGTAGAATAGAGTCTAGGCACTATGGGTGGAAGGACCCATGAGCTCAACACCACATACCTTGAGTTTTTATGAAGGTCTTGAGAGTGTCTTCAATGGAAGCTTGGAACTTGGAGCAAGAGTCTCTTCAATCTTGAGGAAGGTTTTGGATTAGGGTTTTTGAGAGAACTTGAGAGAAAATGTGTCTAAGTATGGGAGAGGTGTTTTGGGAAATGTTTTAGAGATGGGAATTGAACTAATGGTATATAGGAATAACATATGTCCTTTGGAAAAATGGTCCAACACTTAGAAAAAAAAATGAGGCGGGTGAACAGTAAAAACGCTCACTGGAAATTGCCTTTCCTGCCGGACAGATTTTACGAAAATGGGCATAACTTCTTCGTCCGAACTCCGAATGAGGTGAAACGAAGTGCGTTAGGTAGCTAACTCAAAGGGCTTTCCATGGATATGTTATTGGTCACCCAATAATTTGTGTGCTAGGAGATATGACCCTCCAAAGTAGACCCTCAAAAAAGGCTTCACTTGAAAATTTCGGATTTTGATACGGTTGCTCTAAAATTTGGGTTAGACCCATTTCCCACTCAATTTGACCCCCTAAACAAGAATATGAAGTTGGATTTTCGAAAAATGAAACGGATTTTTTTTTTTTATATATAGCTAAACAAGTTTCCGGTAACTTTCGAAGCACATTTTTAAGAACTTTTTGGGTCATTTCAAAAACTCTCTCATTTTTATTTCTCTCAACTCACATTTGCCTTATGATGCCCAGTTAGGGTTTTCACCAATAAGACTCTCTCTTTTCTATTTTTATTTTTTATTTTTTTATTTTTTTCAAAGCTCACTTTCGCCTTATGATGCCGAGTTAGGGTTTTCACCAATAAGACTCTCTCATTTTTGTTTCTCTCAACTCACATTCGCCTTATGATGCCCAGTTAGTGTTTTCACCAATAAGACTCTCTCATGGTTTCATCATTTGTATCCTTAACATACTTACTCTTGACATTTCAAAGGTTGATCCAAAGGTCTTTCTTTGATTGAAACACAACTTTTATACAAGGTTAGAAAGAAATGACAAGATGAAGGCTCAAATACGACTTTAAATGATGGGATTGACTTTAGCTTTGGGATAGAAAAATAAAAATAAATAAATAAATAAATAAAATGACTTTTGCCCCAGTTTTTTACAAATATGGAATTTTGGATTTTTTATTTGGTTAAACCGAACCCCATACTAGGGTTGCCTACGTATCTTATCGAAACAAGAATCAGGTCAAACGTAGTTCATAATGATTGATTTTCTTCTTCTTCTTTTTTAATGGAAGAGCCAAGGAAGCACAAGAACCAAGAAAGTAAATTAACTTTCAACAAGGGTGACAACATATGAATTAATACTTAGACACAAAACCAAAAATTTCTATTACATCAACCTTTGAAATGTCAAGTCCAAACATAAGGGTTTCTAATATCGAAAAATCACATCATATATAATATCTCTTCACAGCATCAACATTGATGACCATTTCTGTCATTTTGCCTTCTATATCTGCTAAGTAAAGAGCACCATTGGATAATACCTTCTTTACAATGAATGGTCCTTTCCAATTTGGAGAAAATTTGCCTTTGACTTCAGCCTGGTGCGGCAGAATACGTCTCAACACTAATTGACCCTCTTCGAAACGTCTGGGACGCACCTTTTTGTTGTATGCTCGTGTCATTCTCTTCTGGTACATTTGTCCATGGCATACTGATGTCATTCGCTTCTCATCAATCAAACTTAATTGCTCCAAACGTTTTCTGACCCACTCATCGTCATCAATTCCAGCCTCTACAACAATTTGCAGGGATGAAATCTCAACCTCTGCAGGTATAACTGCCTCAGTCCCATATACCAGTGAATAGGGGGTGGCACCCACTGACGTACGAACTGTAGTGCGATAACCCAACAAAGCAAAATGCAACTTTTCATGCCTGTCGAGAACTTTGCACCATTTTACGAAGTATCTTTTTAATATTTTTGTTGGCAGCTTCTATAGCCCCATTTGCTTTTGTGCGATAAGGAGTCGAATTTCGATGTTCAATCTTAAATTGACGGCATACCTCTTGCATTAAGTGACTGTTGAGATTTGCAGCATTATCGGTAACAATTGCCTTTGGAATACCAAATTGACAGATGATGTTGAAATGAATGAAATCCACCACGACCTTTTTGGTCACTGACTTGAAAGTTACTGCTTCCACCCACTTTGTAAAGTAATCAATGGCCACCAGGATGAACCTATGACCATTCGATGCTTTTGGTTCTATTGGTCCAATCACATCCATTCCCCATGCCACGAAAGGCCATGGAGCAGACATCGCATGCAACTCGGAGGGAGGAGAATGTATCAAATCACCGTGTATTTGACATTCATGACATTTACGAACAAACCGTATAGAATCCCGCTCCATGGTGAGCCAATAATAACCTGCCCGAAGTATCTTCTTTGCCAGAACATATCCATTCATGTAAGGTCCACAAACTCCTGAGTGTACTTCAATCATGATTGTTGAAGCCTCTTTAGCATTTACACATCTTAGAAGACCCAAATCAGGTGTTTTCTTGTACAATATGCCTCCGCTTAAGAAAAAACCGCTAGCTAGTCGCCGAATAGTCCTTTTTTGATTACTTGTGGCATTAGTAGGGCATTCTCCGGACTGAAGATATGTTTTAATATCATGGAACCAAGGTTTACCGTCAAATTCTTCCTCCACCAAGTTGCAATAAGCATGCTGATCACGAATCTGTATGTACAAATGGTCGATATGAGCTTCGTCAGGATGTTGAAGCATCGAAGATAAAGTTGCCAATGCATCAGCAATCTCATTATGAACTCTAGGAATGTGTCTAAACTTTATTGACACAAGTTGTCGACAAAGATCTTGTAAACAATGTTGATATGGTATGAGCTTTGGGTCACGAGTCTCCCATTCTCCTTGGATTTGATGGACCAGTAAGTCTGAGTCTCCTAGCACTAGCAACTCTTGGATGCCCATGTCAGCAGCTAACCTCAAACCCAAGATGCAAGCCTCATACTCTGACATATTATTAGTACAATAGAATCTAAGTTGGACTGTTATAGGGAAATATTCCCCTGATTCAGACATAAGAACTGCTCCTATCCCAACTCCCTTCTTGTTAGCAGCACCGTCAAAGAACAACTTCCATCCTTGATCCTTATTATGAATAACTTCATCGATACATGATACCTCTTCGTCTGGAAAGTAGGTCTTAAGTGGTTCATATTCATCATCAATAGGGTTCTCTGCCAAATGATCTGACAAGGCTTGAGCCTTCATTGCGGTCCGCGTCACATAGATAATGTCAAACTCTGTGAGTAATATTTGCCATTTCGCAAGCCTGCCCGTGGGTATGGGCTTTTGAAAAATGTATTTTAACGGATCCATACGAGAAATGAGATAAGTAGTATAAGATGAAAGATAGTGCTTCAACTTCTGTGCTACCCAAGTTAGGGCACAACACATTCTTTCAAGAAGGGTGTACTTCGATTCATAAACGGTAAATTTCTTGCTGAGGTAATAAATGGCCTGCTCTTTCTTCCCAGTGCCATCATGCTGGCCCAATACACATCCAAAAGAATTATCCAGTACTGACATATATAATATCAATGGTCTGGCCGGCTCGGGAGGAACCAACACAGGGGGATTCGATAAGTAATTCTTAATCCTTTCAAAAGCCTCTCGACATTCTTCGGTCCATTCGACTGTGGCATTATTTTTTAATAACTTAAAAATGGGCTCGCAAGTTGTTGTGAGTTGAGCAATGAATCTACTGATGTAGTTTAACCTTCCTAGAAGGCTCATAACCTCAGTTTTATTCTTTGGAGGTGGCAGTTCCTGAATGACTTTTATTTTTTAAGGATCTAACTCGATACCTCGTCGACTGACTATAAACCCCAAAAGCTTTTCTGACAGTACTCCAAATACACATTTTGCAGGATTAAGCTTGAGATTATACCTGTGAAGCCTTTCGAAGAATCTTCTTAAGTCTTGCACATGATTTGACTGCTTTTTTGATTTAATGATCACATCATCCACATAAACTTTGATTTCTTTATGCATCATATCATGAAACATTGTTGTCATTGCCCTCATATAAGTTGCACCCGCACTTTTTAACCCACAAGGCATAACCCGATAACAATATGTACCCCATGGAGTGATAAACGACGTTTTTTTCTGCATCTTCATCATCCATAATAATCTGATAGTAACCCGCATAGCAATCCACAAAAGATGCAATCTCATGTTTAGCACAATTATCCAACAAAATATGAATGTTGGGCAAAGGAAAATCATCTTTTGGACTTGCTTTGTTCAAATCACGATAATCAACACATATTCGAACGTTGCCGTCTTTCTTAGGGACAAGTACGATGTTGGCTAACCAAGAAGGATATTGAGCGACTCGAATGACTTTGGCCTCAAGTTGCTTTGTGATTTCCTCTTTAATTATTACACTCATGTCAGTTTTAAGCTTTCTCAACTTTTGCTTTACTGGAGGGAACTTAGGATCAATCGGCAACTTGTGAACCACCATGTCAGTGCTTAATCCAGGCATGTCATCATAAGATGACGCAAAAACATCCTTGTAATCAAACAGAGCCTGGATTATATCCTCCTTTTGATGTCAAGCATGTACGCTTATCTTAGTCTCTTTAATATTTTCATGATCCCCTAAATTTATCGTCTCAGTTTCACTCATATTTGGGTTTGATTTATTCTCAAAAGATTTGAAATCCCTGCATACTTCTTCAAATACTTCGTCTTCATCATATTCAATTTCTTGACTTAGTATTTCAGGATTAGGTCGAAGATTAGATTGGATTTTAAGATCCGGTGAATAATTCTGCATGCATGTCATATCACTAGAATCGACATAGAAAGAATAAGACTCATTCTTAATAGGGAGAGGAGCGGCCTCCCAATTGTTCAGCTGGACATCAGGACCAATGAATTGCACATCTCTGTCGCTAGTGATCAATCATATCAGCCTCGACAAATAAATCTTGAAAATAGTTGATCAATTCTTCGTGAACCTCCAGCACTGGCTCTGGGAGTGGTGACTCAGAAGATTCTGTTATGCGGGCTTTGAGGAAAGATTTGTATATGGGTGGTATAGGCTTGGTAAGTGACCATACATCTCTCTTCTGCTTCTTGGGCTTCATTTTGTCCTCGACTCTAGGCTTGTATCCTAAGCCAAAAGTACCAAGACTCTTTCGTGGACTCACCGGATAAGCTATCCCTTGCAAGAAGATCCCCAAGCCTTTACCTGGTTCAAAACCATGCTTCAGCATTTCATTTACCATCATCACGGATGCCATGGGCAGTTGTGGTTTTGAAATGAGATTCCCCTCGAGGATATGCTCAACAACCACTACCTCAAAAGCTTGATAAACCAATGCCTCATTATCATTATTCGCCTTGATAAAAGGAAAGGAAGAGTCTTTGTAGATTGACAGATCCCCCTCACCATGAACAATCACTTCTTGTCGATCGTATTCAAACTTAATCATTTGATGCAACGTAGAGGGGACTGCCCCAGCTCTATGCACCCATGGTCTTCCCAACAATAGATTGTAGGATGCATTGATATTCAGCACTTGAAAATTCACGGTGAAATCGACAGGCCCTATTTTTAGTATGAGCTCTATCTCCCCAATGGCATCTGTTTTGGACCCATCAAAAGCCCTAACACATACGTTGTTTGGTCGTACCCTTTCAACATGAACATTCAATTTTTGTAGAGTTGACAAGGGACAAATATTTGCCCCAGACCCTCCGTCAATTAGAACTCGAGTGACATATGAAAGCTCACACTTTACAGTGATATAGAGGCCTTGGTTATGTCCGGTACCTTCCACTGGTAGTTCATCATCTGAAAAGGTGATGCGGTTTACCTCAAAGATTCTCCCAGCAATCTTCTCTAACTGACTCACTGTAACTTCATTAGGAACATGTGCTTCGTTCAGAATCTTCATTACATCTTTACGATGTTCATCTGAATGTATTAACAATGACAACAAAGAGATTTGGGCTGGGGTTTTCCTTAACAGTTCCACAATGGAGTAGTCTGACAATTTCATCTTTCTTAAGAACTCCTCCGCCTCCCCTTCAGTGACAGGACTTTTAACTTGCATTTGGTCATTTTTATTCTTCCTTAATTCAGCTGGGGCATAGCATCTTCCCGAACGAGTCATTCCTCCTATGTCATCTACTTCTTCATTGATTTCTTTCCCTTTGTATGTCACGACGGTTGGCTCATAATTCCAAGGGACAGCCTTGGGGTTAGTCATTGGAAGTTGGGACACTGGCCTAATGATCACAAGTGGACTATAGGCACCTTGCACGATCAAGATAGGCTTGTCTGGCCCTCTTGGAACAACCAAGCTTGCCTCTCTCTGACTTGCCCAAACATCTTCAAGTGCTCTTTTCACAGTTAGGATGGGTGTGTTTGATGGGCTTAACTTTTTTGACGTTCTTTCTGCCTCTGAAGGCACCATTTTTGTCAAGTCAACAACATTCGCCGAATTTTCCATGCCAGTTCCAACCTTAAGGATTGGTTTGTATGGGACTGCAACTTCTTCGCAACCCTTCATCATTTCTAACATGTTTGTTTCAGTATGCCTGGGTAGTAGATTTTGATTGATGTTTGGTCCATTTGGGTTTTCAACGATAATTCGATGAGTATCGATCAAATCTTAAATCGCCTTTTTCAAGTACCAACACCTCTCTATGTTGTGCCCTGGGGCATCAGAACAATAAGCGCAGTGTTGAGAATAATCTAGATTTCTTGGGGGAGGATTTGACATCTTTCTTTCAATAGGACTCAAAACATTCAACTTCCTTAATTTTTGAAACAAGCTAGCATATGATTCTCCAATAGGGGTGAATTCATCCTTAGCTCCATTTCCCTTCTTGTATTCTTTCCTAGGACGAAAAGGAAATCTAACAGTATTTTGGTGAATTTGTGGGGGTGGTGGATGATTTTGAGGAATTGGGGCACGCCATTGCGGATAAGAAGGAGGAACAATTGGTTGTGCGCTGAAAACGGGATATGGAGAGTATGGGATGGGATATTGTGGAGTTTGGGGAGGAAAATAGTGTTGCGGAGGATTATCTTGGACATAGGTCCGAGGTGCTGATACAACCGTAGCTACATCCTCCCTTCTCTTCTTCCCTCCAATATTTACAAAACCATTTTGAAGCACTTGTGTTGTGGCTTTTAAGGCAGCTTGGCTTACAATCTTTCCAGACTTGATGTCATTTTCCACCATTTCCCCAACCTTAATAACTTCAGCGAATGTCTTCCCGACGGCAGAAAGCAAGTAGTGAAAGTAATCAGGTTCTTGCGCTTGGAGAAAAACGTCAATCATCTCTGACTCCTTCATTTGTGGTTTAACCCTAGCAGCTTGCTCCCTCCATCTAACGGCATATTTGCAAAAAAAATTTGTGGTCTTTTTCCTCGTATTGGCTAATGAGGAGCGGTCTGGCACAATGTCAATATTGTATTGGAATTGTTGCACAAAATATCAAGCCAAATCGTCCCATGTATGCCAGTTGGCAATATCCTGATCTATGAACCATTCGATGTAATTCCCGCTAGGTTTTCCCCAAAATAGGTCATAAGCAACTCTTCTTTGCCCCCTGCACCCCTCAGTTGATTGCAATATCTCTTCAAATGAGCTATGGGGTCTCCGTGACCATCGTATTTCTCAAACTTTGGAGTTTTAAAACCAACAGGCAAATGGACGTGGGGAAACATGCACAAATCGCTGAATGAGATGCCTTTGTGGCTTCCTAGTCCCTGCATATCTCTTATGCTCTGTTCCAAACTCTTCATTTTCTTAGCCAACTCTTCATGTTCCTCATTCTTAACCGTCTTTTCAACTTCGATAGGGGAACTATATTGATGGATGTGGGGATACGAGCTTGGAATTTTAATTGCCTCTTCAAGGGTATAACCATGATCATGAGGAACTTTGGACAAAGGATCATTGTTGGGCATCATTGTTAGCTGTGGAATGATCTTAGTCAGCGCAGTTGGCATAAAAAGTGGATTACTCATCATAGGGGTACTCAAAGGGCGCACCATAGAAGTTCCAGCGACGTTGGATGTGTTAGCATAGGAGCCGAATCCAGGTGGATAAATGGGATCATTTGTCGACACTTGGATAGAGGGTGGCATGTTTGTATTTAGATAGTCGCGTATTGAAGAAGGCGGAGCTTGTCCACTCGTCCAAGCTTCGTACATATCTGCCATTTGTTGTCTTAATGCCCTTACCTCTTTATTGACGCTGTTTCTTGTGAAGTCATCTGGTTTCGGACCTCATCACGGTCAGACTCGTTCCCGTCTTTGTGGGCCATTTTTTTCTTCCCTTTCGACCTTGTATTGTAGGGATGTGATGTCAGCTTAACCACAAACCAATCACCTTTAAGCTAATATGTATTTATCTCTCTCTCTCTCTCGCTCTCTCTCTCTGAATGAAGTAGCAAACATATTAGTGTTAAGGAATTGTGCATATTGCATCCACATATATACTTTTAATATGGAAGACCTTATGTTTCATCCCGGCTCATCTAGGTGTTTTCTCTTATTTAGTTATTCTTGTTAAAAATGTTTGATCAAACCTATTGGGTTGCCTACGTATCATGTTAGTGCATGAATCAGATCTTTGCGTAGTTCGAGAATACACATTAACCCTTTCTTTTTTTTCTTTTCTTTTTTCTTTTTTTTTAATTATATATTTTTTATAGTTGTTATAGATATATACATATAGATATTACTATTTATATATATTTATTCATTTATACTAATCAAAAAATGAAACCAGACATAAACATAACTTAACATATCATTTCAATGTTTGAAACATAAGTAGGAAAACGATGAGAAAATCGTTAAACAAAAGTCAATATCTTAAACAGACACGACCTAAACAAAGCGTAAAAAAGTAGAATGAAATAAAGAAGGACTTAAACTAAAGAAAACGACACTAAGGAAACAAATGTTTGTATCAACCCTCATATTCTAAAGACATAAATGTCATGCTTGCATCCCCATCTGCTTGCTCATGGAGATGGTGGTCTTACACGACCTCCTACACTCTGATATATATCTTGCACCAAATTCATAAGGTACTCAGCGAATTCAGGTACTTCAGCCAAAAATTGTTTATGGTTCATCTCTTGATAGTCTAAACCCATTCGGGCAGTGCGATCAGCCAAACGACGGACTTTTGATCAAAGTGAATTGCAAGTCTGATTCCATCCTCGTATATGTTGATCACGGGAGGCCACCATTTCTCTAGCACGTCTTTCTTGTGTTGAGACTGACTCTATTTCCTCTCAAAGTCTTCCCCTTTCACGGATCCACTAAGCTCTCTCTTGATCAAAATTGTTTGACTTTTCTAATCACATGTCCTCAATTGTTGTTGTCGAGATACCGCAAGTTCGCAACTTGTGTTCCCCTAATTGTTGCCAATTAACTTGTCCTCGGAGCAAGGTTTCTCTCTGAGTTGCCTTGGCTCTTTCCTCTTCGAACTCTGCTTTTGTTGGGTTAGAGCGGCTCTAGCAGCTCTAAATTTGCTCTTAACTCCTGATTTTCAGCAAGGTAATCAACATAGCCAACTCGATTTTTATTTTCATC